GGGGCAGAGGGCGGCGGGGGTGCTGGGAGCCCTGGGAAGCCGCTGTAGGGCACGTAGGGTGGGCCATAGACCCCCGGGGCCATGAGCAGGGGGTTGAAAGGAGCCTGGTAGAGCCCGGCGTGTGATGCCACTGGTGGGATGAGGACCTCCAGGTACTGCCCAGTCTCAGGGTCATAGAGTGTCTTCAGCTGGGGCTGCCGTGGTGGCTCCATGTAGTAGCATTTCCCGCTGCTGGGAAGCCGCTGTAGGGCACGTAGGGTGGGCCATAGACCCCCGGGGCCATGAGCAGGGGGTTGAAAGGAGCCTGGTAGAGCCCGGCGTGTGATGCCACTGGTGGGATGAGGACCTCCAGGTACTGCCCAGTCTCAGGGTCATAGAGTGTCTTCAGCTGGGGCTGCCGTGGTGGCTCCATGTAGTAGCATTTCCCGCTGTTGGGATCGACGAGCATCCTCCGGTGTGGGGGCGGGTTGGGTGCGAAGGGCTTAGTGGGGCTTGGCGTGCTCTTACTGCTCGGCGAGGCACCGTCGGACCTCCTGGGGAAAGGGGGAGCGTCCTCGAGGCGAGGCTGGGGCTGGGCTGGGGGTGGCGGCACTGGGTGCTCCCCAGCAGCCAGGCCCCCAGCAGGACGAGGCAGGGGGGGCTCGGGGCCGGGTTTGCTCCAGGGCATTTCCCCCCTGGCCACGGGGGACACACCAGTTCCCAGGGGAATGCCAGCTGGGTTGGGGACCAAAGCGGATCCAAAGGATGAGCTGGCCATGTTGGAGACTGATGGGTGTCCAAGGGAAGAGGGGACTGGGTTGGTGACCAAGGGGGACTCAAGTGATAAGCCAGCTGAGCTAGGGATCAAGGGGATCCCAAGTGATGAGTTGGCCAGTTTAGGGACTGAGGGGGTCTCAAAGGATGCGCTGGATGGATTAGGGACCACCAAGGGGGTCCCAAAGGAGGCACTGGATGGATTAGGGACCAGTGGGGTCCCAAAGGATGCGCTGGATGGATTAGGGACTGAGGGGGTCCCAAAGGATGCACTGGATGGATTAGGGACCAGTGAGGTCCCAAAGGATGCACTGGATGGACTAGGAACCAAGGGGGTCCCAAAGGATGCACCGCACAGGTTGGGGACCAAGGGGGTCCCAAAGGAAGCACTGGCTGGATAGGGGATCAAGGGGGTCCCAAAAGACTTGTTGGTGGGGTTGGAGACAAAGGGAGCCCCAAATGATGCGCCTGCCAGGCTGGAGGCTGGAGGGTAGCTGAAAGATGAGTTGGTCATGATGGGGACTGTGGGATTCCCAAAGGATATGCTGGCTGGATTGGGGACCGAGGGGGTCCCAAAGGATGTGCTAGTTGGGTTGGGGACCGAGGGGGTCCCAAAGGATGCACTGGCTGGACTGGGGATCAAGGGGGTCCCAAAGGATGTGCTGACTAGCTTGGGGACCACAGGGCTCCCGAAGGACGCACTGGACGGGCTGGGGACCGAGGGCAGCTTTGGCATCGCAGAGGATTTGGGGGCTTTCATGGGAATTGCTAAGTAGTTGGAGTTCTCCGCCAGGGCAGCAGGAAGGTACGGCTCGGCGTCTGCCGGCCACTTTGGTG